TGAATATGCATGACAAATGTATAAACTTTCTTTCATTCATACAAAGTATGTAGACAAATTGACATGGGTTGTATGTATAAAATTTGTCGAAAATAATTCAATTTTTCGTATATATATTTACATATATTTTTTGCATGATTTTTGCACAAAAAAAAGAAATCGATAATTTTTTATCAGGATCTGGAGATATAAAATTTTAATTTCATCAGTGATTACTCCACGCTGATAAACGTATTCGTCCTATTTCACTAAAGTGGATTTTCCACTTTTTCAGTTCTAGGATAATCCATAAAAATAAAAATAATTGCTCAGAAAAAATTGATGATTTTATAAACATCTTTGAAAATTGATTTCACTAAAACTGATCAATTATCCTGTTAAGGAGATTATCCTTAGATTGATATTTTATTCAAATTCATTAGATCCTGTCTCATTATGCATAATTAGGTTAGAATATAAAAAATTCTAAGTATATGTTAATTTAAGTAGCAAAGTACTCTAACTAGATCACACATTAGATCTCTTAAAAACCTTAAGCGTCTGAAGATATTTCCAAAAAACTGAAGTGGATAGTCCGAAATCGAGGATAATCCACTTTAGTGGAACAGGCCGATAGATTTTAAATTATATAATAACATTTTTATTTTTTTTCTATGCTTCTTAAAGCTACTCTTAATTAATACTTAATAAAAAGTTTATAAAACTTTTTTTTTATTAAGTATTAAATTATTATCAAAGAAGTTTGAGAAATCGTTAAGAAGAAAATAATGAACAAGAAAAAAGTTCATAAAGAATGAAATACAAAATTTGTATAAAGGTGCAAATGTTATTTCCTAGGCAATGTCGTGTCAATTAATTTTCCAAAAAATCTTATTTCCACTTATCTATGTTTAAATTAGTAATGATATGGACTAAAAGGAAATTATGGAAATGTGAAACAATTTTTCATTATACAGAAATTTTGTTTATGTCAGCGTTATCAAGAAGATTTATTTTTGGTAAATTGCATAACATTGTGTGTTCTGATAACGAACCAAAAATGAAACTTATTAATTTGAAATGAAACATTTTAATAAGAAATAATTTTTATACGAAGTTTTTTCATTTTTTTCAGTATTCTGATTTTATTAATGATTTTAAAGAAAATCTGATTTTATATTTTTCCTAATGGTATTAAAAATTTCTCAGTAAAACCTGAATTATTGAATTGAAAATTACTAGTCATCGGAATAGGATATTTTTGAAAATATTTAACAATTGTCTTTTCATCCAGTTCATGCAAATAAACTGATAAATTATCATCAATTTCGGTATCGTATTTTGTTTTTGGAACAACTACTGAAAACATGGTCAAAATTTGATTTATTTTGGGGACAATCAGATTATTTATCGCATAGTTTATGAGCCTTTGATTCATATCGAAAATTTTAGGCGTGACCAATTCAATCAGACGATTCATAATTTTATTTATCGATCGTGTTGTCCAGCGATTTTCACCAATTAGGCCAGTTATGTTTGACTAAAAGTAGAACACAATGAAAATTTGTTAAATAAACATAATTTTTTTTAAATGGTAAAATTAATGACAATATCAGGAAACTGGTTTTGATACAATTGACAAGCTTCGATAATTAAATATGGAAATAATTTATTTATACCTTAATTTGTCTCATAGTTGAATCAACAGTAAAATTTATTATCTGCATTCGCAAACGTTTCAACATGACAAATGCAGTGACGTTTGTTGTCAAGTCTGTTGAAATTAAATTTTCAATTACTTTTATTTATATAAGTAAAATAAATTATTTTTAACTTACTATTTATATTAAAATTATAATTTCCTTTTCCTTGTAATGGCACGTAGCTGATAAATTTTCCATTCCCTAAATAGCTTCCATTTACTCTCAAGTCATTAAATGTAAGGGAAAAGTTCATTGATTTATCTTTCCAACTAAACTTTACATAATTAATGTTGAATTTATCAATTCCATCTACAACGATTTTCGTAAGGGATGAATTAAATCTACACAATAGGTATAAAAATAAAACAGAATAAAAAAGTATAAACTTTCTATTTTTATTGTTTGTTTGTGGGATGAGCTTGGCAATTAAAGCTTTTGTTTTTCGAAACAACATATTTTGATAAATGGAAGCAAAAAGCTCTTATATGACGTTAAATTGCTAACCTTTTCCACCTACTTTAACCAAGTCTATCTATATACATATATGTATGTTCTCCTATTTTCTACCTCATATATTTTTTTCTTGCTTCCCATCATTTCTATTCTCCTTAAGAAAGAGAGGTTGATACTTACTGTAGAAATGATAAATTGACTGTATTATTGCGATCCTTTAATTTAAGTGGAGCTAAAGGCGAAATGCCTATTAATGGAAATCCATAACGCATTCTACTTTGGATCTTCTCAATAATTTTTTCCACAGCAAATGTTCCTAAGCTGCCTCTCTGCTCCAACGCCATTGCTATCGCGATGGTTGGGTTTTAATGAATAATAGAACGGAAAAAAAGAAAGAAAATGGGAAGAAGAACGAAAATAAAGTAAGTTAAACAGAGGAAAAGAAATAAATGGCAATAAATCCTGAATGAGTGTAAATTCTCATGAGGATGTGGTTTACTACAGTAAAGTGGAATTATGATAAAAATACACACGTATCAACGCAAATATACCATACAAGCTCTTACATACAAACCCGTAGATTTATATGACTAACAAATTGAACACAATATGTACAAAGTTGGATGGATATACAAGGAAAAATGAAAACACACAATGAATAAAACTCCTCTGTCAAGGAGCTTTATTCCAATGAAAGTTATACAAATATATCAGGTAGCATGAGAAAAGGATATAATTACTCACATTTAACTTGAATGTTTTCATAGCATTTCGAAACTTTCAATAACGAGCATATCAAGCTGATGTGAAGGAGCAATAAGATACTCGAGAGATTTAGTTTTCTCATTTTATACATTTATAGTGATTCAGATGAAATACTCGTCTTATTGAGACCTTTATTTATGTACTTTCCGTTCTCTATATCCCTCTTTCTCTGCTCTTCAACATAGACTTATGAAGTCGACTTATTAAGTAGATTTTGTTGGCAATTATAAAACTCACTTGGATTTTACAAACAACAGAGTTGATAGGACACTTTTGATGGAAAAGATTTATGCAAAGTGTAAACACTTATTAAGCACTTTTGTGGTTTCAGCTTATGGTATTTATACATATAACTTACTAACAATCTAGCTTTCATTCAAATATGAGCTTACTATCATACTCTCGAGAGAAATTTTCTTGATTTTGCAAGCAAGCACTTACGAGTATTTTCAATGCAGTTTTATATTTATGCTGCAACAACAAAAACAAAGCTTCAACTTTTTTTTTATTATTTATTTTCTTTTTCACATTCTGAATTTCTACTCTCTATGAAATTGCAGATTATGCTTAATATTATGAAGTGGGTTGCAATTAAGAGGATTTTAAATACTTCACATGAAACGAAATGCATTATGTACTTCAATGCAGAACAAACTTTTTGGTAGTTGATAATTTGAAGGAGTAAGCAAGTAGCAGGCAAATAAATCTGACGGTTAACAAATTAGTACATCGAAAAACTAATTTGTTAACTCAGGAATAAGAAATTATTAAATTTTTCCCGATTTATTCTTACAAAAAAATTCTTAACCTCTTTTTTTTTTTTATTTTAACTTAACCTCTTTATTTTTAAGATTTAAACACTTCATGAATTAACTTTAAGCCATTTTCAAATAAGAAATAGAAATAGAAAATAACATGAAGAATGATAATTGAAGAAAGAAAGTTAATACATTTTTTTTACAATTCCATTTCACAACGTTTGCAGCCATCTAACGTCAGATTGTCATTAAATCTTTACCGCTACATGACTTCATTAGTAGTAAACTGATGGCGAAATTATTAATTTACTTTAACGATCTCAACAGCAGTCAAACATTATTATTTTTATGATAGTTTGTAACTATAAATGCAGACCCTAATTGAACAGATATTTTTGGTTAAATCCAGAAAAAAGGTGAAATTCATAAATATCTATCTTAATTGCAGGCGTTAAAAATGCATTTTTATTTATATCAAATGACATTTTCATTTTAGTCATCATCATCAATCGTTTTGAGCGACAATTTGATCATTTTATTTTAGGAAATGCAAACTGATGCATCTATAGAAGGGTATCGTGAAGGGTTTCAATTTTAAACTTTTAAAACATTTTGTTTGAACTGAAAAATTAAGTCGCTTTATAAATCAAACAAAATTTTCTATCGAAAGGGGTTTAGACTCGCAAAACATCTCCCTGACTGCGTCCCTTTGTTCCACAAATAAAACAGCCTCCGCAAAAATACAAAAAGCTTCAAATAGCAATATAGATAAGTAAAATACGGAACGGTAATATATTTTTATGTTCAAGCAATCGCAATAGAAAAGGATGTGGACATGCAAAGAGAATTAAAAACCGAATGAGCTTTGCAGGCTGCATTTCCCAAGCACAAATAAATGCCCTGACATTTTCACATAAAATAACTATTTTGCTATTGTTGTCTGATGATACACTGATATCATCCTACATATATAATGAAAATCTATAAATAAAATTAGAGATAAAGATAAGCGGATAGAATGGAACGAGAGAATGAGATGAGGAGAGGATGAAAAAAAAAATAGATAGATAGATAGACCTAATTTCAGCAGCAATAGCGGCAATTGCGACGTCATCATCATCAACTATTTTACCCCTTCGTCATCCGTTTTCCAAAATATAAATTTTAATATTGTTCTTGCAAGAAGCGGAGAATTTTGTTTCTTCATATAAATATTGTATCCTTCATAAAACAGCTTCCCCACTGCTATTCGTATTGGATTTATGGAAGGACTTATTCCCAATGTCACACTTGCGCAGTTGCATTCCACATATAAAATCTACATCGTCGTTCCGATACAATTGAGAGAAGAGAAAGAAATTTCTCTACATTTAATTTCTTGTTGTGTCGCGTAAGAAGCAGTCGATTAATTTTTGGCTGCTGCTTAATTAATAATACAAAAGGAGAGACAGTGAAAAGGTGAAATTTTAAATTCATTATTTCATGTATAGGATTAATAATAAACAATTTAAATTTTTACAATACCAAAAACTTTAATATTATGTGTCAAAACTTTCATTCTTTAATCTACATTTAAATAAGAAAAGTTTTCAATGTGAATAAAAGAAAAAAATTATAATACAATAAAAAGAAGAGAAAAAAAGGAACAAAAAGAAGAAAAAGAAAAGATAGCGAAGTTATCATTAAGGAAGAAAAAAGAAAATCATGCTTGAAATTTTCGAATTTTTTTATTTTCGAAATCGACACGAGAGAGGAAGAAATTAGAATTGAGTGTGTGTTTGTGAAAATACATTCGACAAAAGCTCCTGTTTTGTAGAAACGACTAAATAGAGAAAAAAAAAGTTTTTTATTTCATACTTTTCTACAGTTGAGTGGAGAAATTCTGATGCACTTGTCGTTTATCGCGAATCTGCACTCGATATAAAACAAATAATACATAAAAGGAAGAAGGAACTTTATTGCATTTGCACAAGGATTTCTAATAAAACTCATTTTAATCAGTAAATAAAATTAGATTTCAAATTTAAAAAAAAATAAGGATAAAAAACATTAATATCTTTAAAGGAGTTAAATGATACATGTATTAAAGTAATATATTAAGTGTGTGAAAAAGTGAAAGAGAGGAAGAAAGAAATTAAAACCCAAATGTCCTTGATGAAAATACAACAAAGTGGCAATTAAAAGAGGAGATTAATTTAAACGAAATAATATTCAGTGTAAGTGCACATATGTCTATATGATGATATGAAATTTGTGTAATAGATAAGCCTTTGTTTTGACATGAAATTGGTAAAGATAAAGAAAAGAGAGTAAGATAGAAAGAAAGACACAAGAAAATAAATCCGAAAAAGAGAAAATATTTATTTTCGATTCAATCAAGTAAAGTGAGTATTCAAGGCTACATCATGTTATAACATAAAAAGGTTCCTTTGGAATAGAAAGAGAAAAAAAAAACGTAGAAGGAAAAAAAATTCCATTTATTGATTCTGTATAATTCTGATTCTCGCACAAATCCGAATGACAGCTGTGTAAATAATAATAAACATGTCTCGAATGACGACGCTTTTTGCCTTTTTATTTCATTTTTTTTATTCTTCATTCTCCTTTCTCGTAAGAAAGAAAGAAATCACTCTGCATCCGTGCTTATAGCTTATTGCTTCGTGTACATTCAATCTGTACATAGCTTTACTTGATATATAGTAAGAAGCAGCATCCGGATACTGTGTGTGTTATGAAGAAAAAAAAAAGTTCCATTGCAAAAAATATCTTCTTTTAAATTTTATACCAACACAAAATGGCGGATAATATAATTTTAAAAGCATACTCAAAAGTATGGTAAATTTTGCACCCCACCAGATGCAGCTTCATATAGGAATATGTTAAAAAGAGCGTAAAGCACAAAGAATCTCGTTTAACAATCGATGTTCACAAAGAAAGTATGGGTGTATTCAAAACCATTCTGAATTTTCGATCATGTGTGAATAAAAGCTTCATTCCTTTTGAAAACATTAACTGAGACTTTGGTATGACAATAAGAGAGGCAGATAATATCCAAAAAAATGTCGTTTCTGGTTAACTATGTCCATAACTTTTCATTACCATCATTTGCTAGTCTTGAAAGTTTTAATTCCCTCATTGCATATAGTTTTTCATTTTATTTGTTCATTCATGCTTAAATAACAACAGCACAAGCAATCCAGTACAAGAAAAGAATCGTAAATGAGACAAAAAAATTCAAATAAACGAAAGAATGAATGAAATAAAAAGAAAAATTGCTGGAAGCATACAGACGAGAGGAATGCTTTTATATCCGTGTTATTGATTTTAGCATAAAAATAAATAGTGTGATATGATACTCGTAGAATTTTTCGGTAGCTGCTAGTGTTACTTGGGTCTTCTCTGTTTTCCTTGAACATTAAATATTAGACAATGTAATGCTTTTCGAGGGACTACTTAAAAATATATGGGCTCTATTCCGTCCTTACAACTTTTTTGTATCTTTTTTCTGTCTTTGTCATGGCTACAAAATATCCTATATATATTTTCATATTATGTTGCTATATTTTTGCTTTTATATTGAAAAAGGAGCATATAAAAATGTGATGCATGCATGAGAAAAGAAATATAAAAAATTCTCAAATATGATAAGAAGAATGTCCATTTTCTATAAACAAAAGTTTCAATGTTTTTAGCAACATGATGTGTATGTGATATCATATTGCTTAACTTTATTATTTTTGGTATAATGATGAAAAAAAAAATCACCACTATAAATATACATGTACAGTACTACGGTAAGTAAATGAAGATGATGCAATGCAGATAATTATTGTCTGTAGGGGTTCACCAGTATACTCTAGTTTTTCTCTTCGTTATTTTCTCTCTGTATTCACTCTCTCTATGCTTTACTTGCATATCCAAAAACTTTTTTTTTCATTTTGTACAATTATGAAGAATGCTTTAAAAACTATAAGCTTTTTTGGAGTCACTTTTCTCCTTCAAAACTTCTCTTATTTGATTACCAATGGCTCAATAAGAGTCAAAATTAATTAATTATTTTACATTTAAACAGACAACAACAATTCAATGAAATCACAATAACAGAAAAGAGTAGAACAGCGAAAGTATTATCAATAATAATAAAAATAGAATTATGGAAATAGAGAAAAATTGGATTTTCGAGGTCAGAGGAAGTGACAGGAAATGGGAAGAATGACTTTGTGGTTTGCCACATAAAATTGATTTTTTTTTTATTTTCAAACTTTTCTCTTTTTCTCTTTCGACTTTTACTCCATTATCATTTATATTGCATGAATGAAGAAAAAAAGTTTTTTTTTATATTTTTTTTGTCGTCGTTCATTCTTTATGATTTTTATTTCAATTCTGTTCTTTCTCAATACAAATTAAACTATTTCTGGGTTTTGTACTTTAACATACTTGAAGATGAATTTTAATTTAAATGAATAATGGGGGTCCTTGAATTGAGTAGGTGTCTTGTTCCAGAAAAATCCTATTCAAATCGAATCTACTCAAATCGAGGACCCATAGTAAATAAATGCTTCTTTGATAAAAAAATTGATAAAAAAAATATGAATTAATAATTGCTAATTGAAATGTAAAATGATTTAGTCTCCACAATAAAGGATGACAATATCATCATTATTGAAATATGAAAAAAAATGGTAATTTTAAAAAATGGATTATTTTTTAATTTATTCTTAAATATTTACCCTCTATTGAGAACAAATTTAAAACTTGTTTTAGCCGCAGTACAGTGCTGTGAATGTATCAATTATTGTCATGCGATTCGTGATATCGTTTTAATTAATATTTTTTTAACAACAATTTTATGCATTTAATAACGTTATGGTGTAAATAACTTGCAGATTGAAAAAGCTTTTTATTTTTAATAGCTTAATTTCATAATAGGTTTATTGATTCAAAATCCTGAAATCAGAAAATATGATTTTGGGAATTTTTTAAAATGTTGAAAAACATAATTTACTCCTTAAATATCATTATAACAAAGCATCTTTTTTGTTATCTTTGGCACCAAACATTCAAAGTCGTTATGGCTATGCTAATGTTCAGCACACAAATTTTACTTTATTTATAATGAATGCAATCAAAGCTTCAAGGACAAAACAATTATAAAATTAAGGAGGAATACATTTTTCTTAATGATTATGAACTTTTTACTTTTTTTTCTCATTTTATGATGCGAAACAACCTTAAATAAAAAAATTCTCAAACGCAATTTCATATCGTCCATTTCAAACAATAAAACGAAATGCTTACACAATCATGAAAACATTTTTTTCCTTGTTGCTTTTTTGCTTAGGTACACAAGAATACATTTGATGATTACTTAACGTTGCGTGTGATTTATGCCATCATAATAATGTTTTATTCTCCATTTATATATGCATTACATAGTTTCATTATTTGATATTATTCTGTTTGAATATGAATAAGTACAATTTCATTTCCATTAATACATATCACAACAGTAACGGTGATGAAAGTAATAGAATTATATTGATGATTATAATCTAAGTAAAATCAGTATTATAATTATTATTTTTTACATCCTCTTAAAATAATTTATTGAATTAATTTTTTGGTTTGATAAATTTTTTATCCAATTTGAGTGTGAAAAGATACTTTGAGGGATAGGTTTTATTCTATAATAATAATAATAATAATAATTTTCAATTTAAAAAAAAACAGACGTATTTCTACTGTTCTTCTCCTTCACGTTTTATGCTCGTTATAGTTATAATAATAAATTAGAAACTAAGTAGACTCACTGATTTTTAAGGTCAAATTAAAATGTTTTAGGTAATGCCACTTTCTTTTTGGATTGCGAAATATAAAAAAAGCTAGTATCTTATATCCTGAAATGAAATCAGAGAAGAAGTTAAAAAACTATTTTGAGAAAAAAGAACCAATCACAGTTGTGATTCTATAGATACTTAAATGGATAAATTGCAATTTTAATTCTGTATTTTTTAAGAACCCTTTGAAAGCTTTATAGGGCGAAATTGAAAGGATGCAATGTTTGATCGGAATGACATCGGAATTAATTGTCTATCATGATGGGATATTTGTAGTTATTGTACAAATTATTGTAAGCATCTTTATATCATTTATTGCTCATAAAACATTTAAATTTTTAATAAATTTAAAAATACATGAATCTATTTTTACTGTGAAATTGTTTTTAAAAGTCATTTATAAATCTAATCTATGTAGAATATTATTCCAAACCATTTATAAATGTTATTTAAAGAGTGTTTGCACCAAAAATGTTCATTATATTATGAGACATACAAGGTTGCAATTTTTTATTGTCAAAACTCAATACATTTAAAATGTTAATATAAATAGAAAAGAAGCTAGTTTGGCTAATGCATATTTTCAAAGAGACATTAAACATATTATAGAATAGAAATAATGAGAATTTAATATTATAATTGAATGTCGCATGCAAATTGTTTTTTCTACTTATCTTATTCTACATATGAAAATTTCCAACCTCATGCCAACCTACCTATGTATCTGATGAGAATGCGAAATTTTTCTTCAAATGACCGGAATAAAAATGTTTGCAATAAAATGAAAATTTATACAAAATGAAAATGCTTGAAGACTTTTAACCTTCCTTCCTCTATTTCGTTATACTCAAATATCATTTTTTTGTCTCATTTTGAGTTCCTTCAAGCTCACAATTTAACGTACAAGTACGCATTAAGCTACGAATGGAAGAAGCTTTTTTGCATAATCATTTTCTGCTCTGTTTCAAGAAAGTAAGGAATTAAAGTTGCAAATCACTTTAAGGTTCTAAAACAAATGAAACGCATTTCTATAAAATTATCTGCATCCGGTAAAATATTTGGATTAATAAATCTAAACGCATAACTTAATATTTTCTGTAAAAAGCTATGTCATAAGTAGGGAAAAAAATTCACTGCGAATAATTGTGCAAAAACTGCAAGAAGACAGACAATTTAAAAGAACAAAGTAAAATGGAATGTCTGAAGAGAAAAAATGTAAAGTAAAGATGAAGAAGTCGCGCACACATTATTTTCTCTGTGATACTATAAAAAAAAATATATGCAAAAGGTAGCTTTTTATTCTTATGCAGATAAAAGATGATCTCAAGACCCTCGTATCGCCCTTCTTCCATCTTCTTCCATCTTTTTTTTCTTACATTACCTGCTTTCTTACATCTTCGCTCTCTTCTTCATCATTTGTGTCGCTTTTTCTCTACACAATTTTTTTTTCGTCTCTTAACTCCTTGATTATAATGGTTAACTTCTTTGGTGAGTAAAAGGAGGCACTTTTATCTTTCGCACTTACTTACTTATTCGCTCATAATCTA